TATGTGTTAATTACTTATGCTAAACAATCTGTTCCATCTTGTAATTAGCTGTGATACTCTGAGTATCTTTCCCAGAGCTGAAGAAGAGCTCTGTGTAGCTTGAAAGCTTATCTCTTTCACCAACGCACGCATCTTTTGGAACACTGGCCTGTTCAAGAAGCTGTAAGCAGGAACTTTCTTCCCGGACCAGAAGATCGCCATAGGGAAAGTCGAAATGCCCATTGCGATCCTGGGAGACCCCGCCTACCCCTTAACGCCATGGCTTATGAAGCCATACACGGGGCAACTTGACACCAGCAAGGCGCGGTTCAACAACAGGCTGAGCAAGTGCAGAATGACTGTTGAGTGTGCTTTTGGCTGTTTAAAAGTCCACTGGCAATGCCTGTATGGGAAGCTGGACCTGGCTGATGACAATATTCCTATGCTTATAGCTGCATGCTGTACGCTCCATAATATTTGTGAAGGGAAGGGTGAAAGATTCACTCAGGGCTGGACTGCTGAAGCTCAGTGCCTGGAGACTGAGTTTGAACAGCCAGAGACCAGAGCTATTAGACGGGCACAGTGAAGGGCCATAAGGATCAGGGATGTCTTGAGGCAGCAATTTGAAGCTGAAAGCTACTAATATTTGTTGCTGTGCTCGGGATTGCAGTGCTTGTAATGCTAGGAGGTGACTGGTGCACATGATGCAATAGGGGGTTTAAACTAATTGTATGTTGCTTTGCAGTGTTCTTTTGACTTTCACTTAATAGAATAAAGCTTGCTTTCAAACCACCACAATTCTTTTATTAATAGATAACAACCGGAGGAGAGAGTCAAATGAAAAAATACATGAGCAGGGAGCGGGATGGGGGAAAGGAAGGTCCAAGGAGGAGGAGGAGGGGTCCCAGCAGGGCCGGCCTTAGCAAGAGCGGGGCCTGATTCCTGGGCTGCGCTCGGGCCAGGGACACGGGGTTTGGGTCCAGGCCGGAGCCGCTGGGGCCGGGGCCGGGGGTGCTCGGTCGGCGCCGGGGCCGGAGCCACAGGGCTGGGCCGGGGGTGCTTGGCCGGAACCGGGGCTGGGCCCCAGGGCCCGAGCCAGACCAGAGCCAGAGCCACTCAGCCGGGGCCAGACTGGAGCCGCGGGGCTGGGCCGGCGCGCTCGGCTGGAACCTGGGCTGGTGCCCCTGGGCCCGAGCCGGGCTGGAGTCAGAACCGCTCGGCTGGGGCCAGGCCGGCGCCCCTGGGCCTGAGCTGAGCCGAGCCGGGCCGGAGCTGCTCGGGCCGGGGCCAGGCCGGCGCCACAGGGCCGGGCCAGTGCGCTCGGCCGGAACTGGGGCCGGTGCCCCGGGGCCCAAGCCAGGCTGGAGCCAGAGCCGCTGGGGCCGGGGCTGGGGGTGCTTGGCTGGGGCCGGACTGGGCTGCGCCGCGCCTCCCCGGAGCCCTCCTCACGCCCTCACGCCCCCCCGCCCCAGCTTACCTGCTGCTGCCCGCCTGCCCCTGCTTCTTTTCAGACTTCCCGCGATCATCTGATTCGCAGGAAGCAGGGGAGGGGGAGGAGCAGGGGGGCGGAGAGTTCAGGGGAGGGGAGTATGGGGAAGTGAACTGGGGGCGGGGTGGACAGCTGCGGGGCCCTCTTAGGCGTGGGGCCTGATTCGGCTGAATCGGCCTAAAGCCGGCCCTAGGTCCCAGGACGACTAAAGATTTGTGTATGTCCAGGGATCGTTTCCAACCTTCTCCTTTGGACTACAATGCAGCGGATACTGTACTTCAGCAGGGCCAAACTGTAGAGGGATGGGTGTTGAGTACAGTGGGTAGTGGGAGTCCACAGTGCTGGATTGTGAGGAGGGAGGAGTGGAATGCTGTGGGTACAGACTGGAGCCAGGTGGTTGATAAGAATGTGTTGGCGGTATCTGTGGGGCACATGGGAAAGAGTTTTGCGACAGCGGTTGCAGGGGAGGGTGGGCGTGCAGCTGCTTGGTTTGAAGAGCTAGTATTGCCTGGCGCATGTCCGCTTGGCGCTCCATAACGTTTAAGAGTCACTCCAGGGCTTCTTTCTGGTGTGCTGCGTTCTCCTTTCAGTCCCTCTTCTCGCTGTCCCGCCACTCCTTCAATTCCTGTTTCTCGGTGGCAGAGTGCATCATAACCTCACGCAGAAAGTCTTATTAGTTCTTCTTGGCCGCTTTCTAATTCTGCACAGCCATTCTGCCACCAATAATAAAGAGGAAGGCTGTGCAGGGTAAATCACTGTTCCCGAACCCTGCTGTACACTGGGCACGTGGCTCTTGGGGAGAGCCAGCACTGTAGGGGGGACCTTATAATCATTCCTATCCCCATACTTTCCACAGGATGTGATCATAATGGAAGATATCTCGCTGCTGAGGGTGACCAGGGAACCAAGGGAGGCTCTTCTCCAAGCCTGCTGCTTCCACCCTGGCCCCTATGCGGCTTGCCTGTGTGCAGCAATGGTCGCCCCCTCCGCCCGTGATAGCAGAGTGGTGTGGGAAAGTTACCGTTAATGGGGCAAGAAGCAAAGCAGCTCTGCTGAAGAACCTGTGGCAGCGGATTGCCCAGTATCTCCACGAGAGTTTCCTGGAGACCTCTGAGGGAGATTCCCGTGAAGTGAGGGAGTCAAACAGCCTGTTCCGCCACTCAGACTAGACGTGCAGTGGGAGAGAAGCCTGCTTTCTGCAGCCCTCCTGCCCGCAACAACTCTCTTCAATGATTCCCAAAATCAGATCCACTTACCAGGGGCCTCCTCTCCTGTTTGCGCTTCGCCAAGATCCGACTGCTGTGACTGGCTAGACTCCTCTGGGGTAGAAAAGAGCTCCTGGCTGCATGCATCTCTGGCCTCCGAGTCATCCTCTGCCTCTGGGTACCCCTCCCCCTCCACATCCTCATCCAAGATTTCCTCCTCCTGGATCAGTCCACTCTCGAATGGCACGCGAGCCAACGAAGTATCCACAGAGGCCTTCGCAGTGGAGGTGGGGTCGCCACTGAGTATCGTGTCTAGCTCTTTGTAGAACCGGCAGCTTGTGGGAATAGCACCGGAGTGTTGGTTTGCCTCCCGTGCCTTGTGGTAGGCATTCTGCAGCTCCTTCACTTTTACCCTACATTGCAATGGCCACTTTCTATCATGCATTGTGAAATCTGTCCGTAGGTATCATAATGCCTATGGCTGGAGTGCAGCTGGGACTGGACAGCCCCCTCTCCCCAAATACCGATGAGGTCCAGCAGCTCGGCATTGCTCCAAGTGGGGGATCACCTGGTACGTGGAGCAGGCATGGCCACCTGGAAAGATATGCACGCATCACCGAGCAAACAGGAAGGGGACTTTCAAATTGGCAAAGGAATGTACGGGGTGGGGATGACGGTTGGTCACCTGATGGCAGGGCAGTAGAGTTCAAACCAATGAGCAGAGAGGCGAGAACAGGCATTGTGGGACACCTCCTGAGGTCAATCGCAGCGCTGTAATTGCCACTGTCACCGCAGTGGTGGTTACACTGTCACCGCAGCGCTGTAGCCCCAGCACAGAAAGCTCTATGCCTCTCGTTGGGATGGGTTTTTTACAGTGCTGCAACTGTGCAGTTTCTGTGCACTAAGTGGCTTGGCAGTGTGTACACCTCAGGAGTTACAGCGCAGAAAGCTTTACTGTGCAGAAACTTGACAGTGTAGACAGGGCCTAAGTACTTGTAAAGAGGACAACTTTCAGTAGAAGGGCACTGAGGGCTTGATTCTTATCATTCTAACACTAACATGATTCCATTGATAGCAATGGAATGACTTTTTTACATTGGTGTAATTGCACTCAGAATAAGACCCTATGTACCATGGCAACCCAGAGACAAACACTAATTTAGGTAACCCTAACCCAAGGATTTATGTTTTTAACTTACTTCAGAAGACATTTTTAGTAAGCATAAAATGTGATCTGTGAATTACACGGTAAAGATGCTTTAATTTTTCAGTCATGGATAATCTGTGTTATAAACTCATACAACAGTCAGACAAATTAGAGCTTTTTTACCATCTTTTTTTTGGAAAATGTCACGCCCCTTTTTTGGAGTTGAGGGAATGTCTGGGATTATAATTTACAGCCAACCAAAGCATCAATTTTTCCAGTCAGCAGAAAGTTAATAAATGCAGTGTTCAAATTGGTCTTGTGAAACTTGGTTTTGTGATGTTGCCTAGCAAAGCAGATCCTGACTAACGCAGTTTAAAAGCCTGACGTGCCACATAATGCATGAAGCGATATATATAAACCAGGAAGCAATCCAAAGGAAACAGCACATTTTAGCCCTGCTACAGCCCATCCACGAGAACACGGATGGAGAAAATAAGTGCTGGCTGCTTTAGTCAGCAAATGTAAGTATTTTTGCTTCTGTTTCTCTCTGAAAGTATTGAGACTGTTTAAGTAATTTAAGCCAGGATTCCTCAGGGCTGTTTGTTTGGGCTTTGTTATCCTCTACTCCTGTTTATTCTCTGACAGTTTTGAGAAAGACAAGGTGGCTGAAAGCTTGCCTCTCTCACCAACAAAAGTTGGTCCAATAAAAGCTATTATCTCACCCACTTGTCTCATATCCTGGGACCAAAATGGCTGCAACAACACTGCAAACAACAATTCTAAGAGGAATTTTGTAATGACATGTTCATTTTATAGTAAATATATTCAGTGATATTGTATTCTTATCAAAGTATGCAGGCATCATAATGCATGTTATGAAACTACTACTGTTAACTGAGATTTGTTAAGTGTTCTGATATTCTTGAATGAAAGGAGCTGTAGAATTAAAAATACTGTAGACCATAACCTGAAGATTTTACTCTATCCTATTTCAGGAAAACTCCCTTTGGTTTATAATGAAGTTTTATCAGAATAAGGACTGAATAAAAACGGAATTAGACCATTAGGGTTATGCTCTATAGAGACTGACCAGTTTGGAAATATTCTGTAACTAATGCTACTAAAGAAAAATTTTAAAAATGTAAATAAATAAAGAGGGCCAGATTTGCTACTTTGCCCTTATTAAAGCAGGGTGGGGGGCTATCCTGGAGCCAGTTATGATTCCCTATTTTCAGTTAGGGTTGACAACTGTCTAATCACACAAACCCAACACCCTTCCCCTGCCCCTTCCCCGCCCCTTCTCTGAGGCCCCGCTCCTGCTCACTCCACCCCCTCCCCCCCATAGCTAGTTCTCCCTCACCCTCATTCACTTTCACTAGGCTGGGGCAGGGAGTTGGAATGTGAGAGGGGGTGCAGGCTCTGGGCTGGGGCCCGAGGGGTTCGGAGTGTGGGAGGGGGCTCCAGGCGCAGGAGGGGGCTCAGGGATGGGGCAGAGGGTTGGGGTGTGGGAGGGGTGTGGGCTCTGGGAGGGAGTTTGGGTGCAGGAGGGGACTCCGGCCTGGGGCAGGGGGTTGGGGTGTAGGAGGAAGTGCGGGGTGCTGGCTCTGGGAGGGGTCTCAGAGCTGGGGCAGGGTGCTGGCTCCAGCCGGGCGGCGCTTACCTTGGATGGCTCCCAGTCAGCAGCACAACGGGGCTAAGGCAGGCTCCTTGCCTGCCCTGGCTCCGCGCCAATCCCAGAAGCGGCTGGGACGTCCCTGCGGCTCTTTGGGGGCTAGGGGACTCCGTGCGCTGTCCCTGCCTGAAGGCACCGCCCCCACAGCTCCCATTGACCATAGTTCCCAGCCAATGGGAGCTGCGGAGTCAGCACTCGGGGGCAGCGCACGGAGACCTCCTGATCCCCACCCCAGGAGCTGCAGGGACGTGCCGGCCGCTTCTGGGAGCAGTGCAGGGCCAGGGCAGGCAGGGAGCCTGCTTTAGCCCGCTGCGCTGCCAGATTTTTAGTGCCCTAGAATCTCCTGTTTTGGCTTCAGTAGCCTCCGGGAGATAGAGCCCAATTCTGGGAGACTCCCGGTGAAACCGGGAGGGTTGGCAACCCTAGTTTCAGTCCAGCCTCAATGCAGGTTAGAGCAGCCCAGGTCAGGGGCTGGTTGCTTTAACCCACTGGTTCTCAAACTTTTGTACTGGTGACCCCTTTGAAATAGCAAGCATCTGAGTGCGACCCCCCTTATAAATTAAAAACACCTTTTTATATATTTAACACCATTATAAATGCTGGATGCAAAGCAGGGATTGGGGTGGAGGCTGACAGCTCATGACCCCCATGTAATAAACTCACGATCCCCTGAGGGGTCCTGACCCCCAGTTTGAGAACCGCTGCTGTAACCAGTGCCAATTAAGGATAGCTGGAGTACAGTGCATCTAACCGCTCCTCCCCATTCTCCTCAACTGCACCTGCACTGAGGGCTATCGAGATGGTAATGCAGGAACCAGCTAAATTGGCTCTCTATACTCTGGGGCCCTTCCCTGCTGGAGGTATCCCTGGCTAGAGGGATGCAATCAGTCTTTTATTCCCTTTGTGTAGCTTGAGAGGCACACAGGGAGCAGAGGAAGGCACATAATCTGCCCCATTATCTATATCTATCCATACACACACACACACACACACACACACGATGGAGGCCTAGGATAGATGTGGTTTCAATCTCATGGGGAGGGCTCTGAGTCACTCCACAGAGTTCTTTCCCAGGTTTTTTGACTGGTGGATCTTGCCAACATGCTCAGGGGTTTAACTGATTGCCATATTTGGGGTTGGGAAGGAATTTCTCCCCAGGGCAGATTGGCAGAGACCCTGGGGCATAAGCACTGACTCCATGGGTGCTCTGCAGCTGGAGCACTCACGGAAAAAAATAGTGGGTGCTCAACACCCACCAGCCACAGTTGTTCAGTGGGGCCCTGCTGATCAGCTGTTTGGCAGCTGAGGGAGCGGTTGCGGGGGAGGGCGGAGAGTGGTGGGCGGGCAGTGGCCTCAGGGAGAGGGCGGAGCAGGAGTGGGATAAGGCAGAGTGAGGGCTTCAGGGAGGGGCAGGGTGGGGGCAGGAAGATGTGGAGCAAGGGCGGGGCTTCAGGGAAAGGGGTGGAGTGGGACCAGGGCCTCGGGGCAGAGCAGGGGTGGAGCTTTGATTGATGTGAAGTTTGGATGGATTCACAATTAGTTTTCCATTTGTTTTTTGTTACCACACTCCCGAGAAGAGTTGTAAAACTGAATAATTAATTAATTGCATGTATTCTCTCAATTTCAAATATTAACAAACAACTTCCATCTGTATAGTACACGTCACCCATAGATACAGCTGGCAGTCTTGAGTTTAGCTGGCATCCCCTCTCTAGCTTAATAGAGCTATATAGTATACAGCTACAGAATGTTTACAACAGTACTTTGTTGGTGTGGGGCAAATAATGCTTTCAGGAGCTGTAGGAGTTGTCCCATTAAGAATATTTTTAATGAAAACATGCACAATTTTAGTGCAATCTGCTGCACACCAAAAGATTAAAATATGTGCTTTTCAGAAGTGACTTTATAAGCGAGCAGTACTTTACTACTATGCCAAATCAGAGATTATCCAAACTGAAGAAGAGACACCTGACTTTCCCATTTTTTTCCTTTCTAACTGGAGATGGGCCTGTACCATGCTCCCAGATATGACAAAGAAGCTTTGAGAATTTTTCCTGTTTCAAACAGATCACAGAAATGTAAGGCTGGAAGGGATCTTGAGAAGTCCTCCAGTCCAGGCCCCTGGGTTGAGGGAGGACCAAGTTATACCTAGAGCAATCCTGACAGGTGTTTGTCTAACCTATTCTTAAAAACCGTCAATGATGGGGATTTCTCAATCTGCCTTGGAAGTCTACTCCAGTGCTTTACTATCCTTATCTGGATTTTCATTCCATTAACAGCTCATGTCTTTATAAAGAGTCAAACCAAAACTGGATTCAAACACTCACCTGACCCACCATCTCCAACTCAAGGATGTTTCAAATCAAAATCTAGCTTGAGCCTGATTCTAACAGTGTGCCCATCTTTAAATACCTTTCTCCACTCCTCACCCTCAGAGGTGAAATGCAGCTATGTCTCAGGCTACATCTACACTACAGGGGGGAGTCGATTTAAGATACGCAAATTCAGCTACGTGAATAGCGTAGCTGAATTCGACGTATCGCAGCCGACTTACCCCGCTGTGAGGACGGCGGCAAAATCGACCTCTGCGGCTTCCCGTCGACGGCGCTTACTCCCACCTCCGCTGGTGGAGTAAGAGCGTCGATTCGGGGATCGATTGTCGCGTCCCGACGGGACGCGATAAATCGATCCCCGGGAGGTCGATTTCTACCCGCCGATTCAGGCGGGTAGTGTAGACCCAGCCTCAGTAACATATTACCTGCTATATTCTTCTCTCATTATATCAGCTCAAGCCCACTGATTTAACTGGAGTAGCACTTGTCACTGTGTAATGACAGGAGAATTTAGCTTTATGAGAGGGAGTTCAGAATAATTTTTCCAATTCATCTACAGGGGAATTAAATGAAGGCAAAGTGTTATTGCCTGTATTGCAGGTTAGCCAAGACCCTGGGGCTGAGCACTCCTACTCTGGTCAAAAGGGTTATTTTGATGACTCATTACACTTGTAACTAAAGGCTGAGAGCACGAAAATCATCTGAGTCAATCGGATACAAGTCCAAGCCACAACAAACAACAGATTAAGTGGGGAAAGTCTTCATCTAGAAAATAGTCTTGTGAGATTTACAACACCAAGCAGCACTCAGCATTATTTCTTTCACAATATCTCATAAAAAACAAACAAACACTCCAATAAACCAAGACTTAAGGGAAGTTGCACTGGAAAAAACTTGACAAATAAAATGCTCATATGTGAAGGAAATTTTTCTATTATACTTAGTAAAATTTCTGGGCATTCTGATCTGATTTAAACTCAACATTCAAGTAGCAGGACACTGAGAATTGTCATAATTGTAGTAAGAATAAAGCCAGGATGCACATTAACATGGAACTATTGCAGCAAAAGCCTTAGGTATAGGCACGCAACGCGTACTTTTTACCAATGGCTCATACAAAATTGCTTGAGTAGCCACAAACAGTATTATTTTATGATCAGGAAAGATCCTTTTAAATTTCATCTTTTACTGTGCACCGATAGGGTTTTAGAGTGAGGGACCAGAGCTAACAAACATGTTTGACACTTGTATTACTCTAATAAACTACATGAGTCATAACCGAAAGATTCTTTGGATAGATCTTTAATGACAAAATAGGCAATAGGTCATCAATAGTTTTTTGGGTCACTGAGCTGCCATCTAAAAATTTCCCATGACCCAACAGTCATCCTAATTCATCACAAATGTACCTGACATTGTGTATTACACGGATTGGGCCAGGCCCTGAGAAGATCAGAACATCTACAAATCCCACTGAATGTAATGTAGGGTGTAGGCAGTCTACCCCTTCTGGAAATTTGACCTTTTAAAATATAAGGCCAAATCTTGAGGTCCTTAGCTAGCTTTCACTCAGACCTTACCTAATGCAAAACTCCTATTGAAGTTAGTGGGAGTCTTGCATGGGTAAAAGCTGAATAAAGACCTCAGGTTTTGGCCCTTATTAATTAGATTGTTTCAGCATAGTATGAAATGGCTATGAAGAATTACTAAGTGAACATGATATGGCTGTTCTAAAGTAATCACATGAGGTCATATGAAACTCCCCACAGGACAGAAACGGAAAATCTACTCTTTTCTTTTAATTGAATTAAAGGGAAAGGTGAAGTGCTTCCAGTTTCTTGGGCCAGAGGAAAATGCTCACAATTCATTTCACACAGTTTTTAATCAGCTAAGAGACGACTCCAGTTGGAGTGCACAGGCACTGGCTGTTTTCATAGGATACTGTGGGAAAGCTGCTTCAAAACTCATGCCCCTACTGCTCCAGGTCTTATTCTAGATGTAAAGTCTTCCCATAATTTTCACCTCTTGTCTCAGTTTCTCATAACCTACAAAAATCACAGAATTCCTTACTCCCTCCCATTTGTAACATCTTACAGCGCTATGAACCATTCCTCTACTCCGAGATCAGTCCAGACAGATGTAAAGACATCCAGATGCAGCCAGCAGGAGGCCAATTTAACAAACAAACAAACCAGAGATATGCAACCATCCTTGGTGGGAAACGAGAGAAGTCCATAATTTTAGCTTGGTTAAACACAGCATAAAATGCCAGTATTTGCCAAATAGACAAAATACACTGGTTGGGGAATAATTTATTGCTTGTTGTCTTTTGAAAGTATAGTACCAATAAGCAATAATAATTTATTTGTTATAAAAAGAACTTAAAAATGTGTGTCAGCCTCTAAATCATTGGTTTTCAACCTGAGGTCTGCGAACCCCTGGGGGTCCACAGACTATGTCTAAGATTTCCAAAGGGGTCTGCACCTCCATTCGAAATTTTTTCAGGGGTCTGCAAATGAAAAAAGGTCAAAAACCCCTGCTCCAGATTGTTACCATGAGAACTGTAGAAATAAAATCAACACACTGGACAAACATTTAGAATAGTGAAATTGCTGAGGACAGATGTCTATATGGCTAGGCTCCATTTAGTGTTTTAAGCAGCCTTGAGAATGCCACATCGTCATTACTCAAACATGAAGACAAAATGTTGTGGCAGCTGCAGAAAGGGTGGGAGAGACTATGATGAACCTAACAGTAAGATAGAGGCTGCTCCTTTTATGAGGGCCACTGGGCAATCCCATGGGCCTCCGGGATTAGGCAGTGGTAGCATGTTCTGTGAAAAATGAGTGTTTTGTTAGTGGGGCAGTGCTGCAACACCATCTTTCCCCCATTGGAATGGCCTCTATTTTTTTGCCAGGTTGCAGGCCAGGGCCATTTTGGGGTATTTGATATTCGTCCACATAAAAATGAATGTTGATAGAGAGTTTCCTTTTGTATCATAATATCCTCTTTCCCACTGTTCCTACTCCCTCACCTATAGGCCTCAGAGATCAGGCTTGTCACTTGGTGACAGTGAGAGGGCTTGTTGAATGTATGGTAGATGCAAAATGAAAAACACAAGACCAACTATCACGGACACTAACTTCTTTACCAAAAGGGATTCTCTCTAGGGCCACCCAAACAAGTCTATTTGCTTGCATATGAAAATGTACCTCTGGGAATCCTGATGAACACAAGTTAATCAACTAACCATATAGTTAAAGTTATAGTGGCTAACGACTACAACATTCATAATACTGTTCTCAATGGGACATGTTTCTGATAACAATTCCTGGATGAAACTGACATGAGAAGTAATTCTTCCGCTCTACTCTGCAGTGATTAGGCCTCAACTAGAGTAGTGTGTCCAGTTCTGCCATATTTCAGGAAAGATGTGAACAAATTGGATAAAGTCCACAGAAGAGCAACAAAAATGATTAAAGGTCTAGAATACATGACCTATCAGGGAATATTGAAAAAAATGGATTTGTTTAGTCTGGAAAAGACAAGACAGAGGGGACATGATAACAGTTTTCACGTACATAAAAGGTTGTTACAAGGAGGAGGAGGAAGAATTGTTCTTCTTAACTTCTGAGAATAGGACAAGAAGCAATGGGCTTAAATTGCAGCAAGGGAGGTTTAGATTGGACATTAGGAAAAACTTTTAACTGCCAGGGGGGTTAATCACTGGAATAAATTGCCAAGGGAGGTTGTGGAATCTTCATCATTGGAGATTTTTAAGAGCAGGTTAGACAAACATCTGTCAGGATTGTCTAGATAATACTTAGTCCTGTCATGAGTGCAGGGGACTGGACTAGATGACCTCTTGAGGTCCCTTCCAGTCTTATGATTCTATGGTATTCTCCCAGTTTTATTCATTTATTTGATCTGTGAAATGAATAACTTCATTTTTATTCTTCTAGTCTTTTAATGTGTTGTATTTTAAAAATAGTTTTCTCACTAACATAAACATAGAAAAAGTATTGATACACTAATGTCTCTTGAACTATTGTTTTCAAGACAAGTACAAAAAATGAAGAACATATATGCTATGAACTCAGCAAACAAAATATGGATATCAGGCCAGATTCTGATCTCATTTATACCAATATGAATCCACAGTCACTCCAAGCAGGGCCGGCTCCAGGCACCAGACGAGAAAGCACGTGCCTGGGGCGGCACATTGTAAGGGGTGTCATTCCGGCTAATCTTGGGGTGGCCAGCCCAGCCCTGCAGGGGCATGGACCCCGGTCTGAGGGGGGCAGGAACTAGTGATCCCCGCCACTCATTGTGCCGCCGGGCTCCCCGGGACGTGCCACTCCCTGGCGCCTGCACTGGCCTCCGCCTCCCGCGCCGCTCTGAGCCCAGCCCGGCCGAGCCGCCTTTAAAGGAGCGGCTGAGCCAGCACCTCCTGCAGCCCCCGGGCACCGGAGGGAGGGAGGGTTCTGCGGCGGCCCGTCGGACAGCGGAGGGGTGGGCCCCACTGATCCCAGCGCCGTTTGCACTGTGCCGAGCCCCGCTGCAATGCTGGTCCCGCGCGGAGGTCACAGACCCCAGCCAGCGCTGCCTGTGTCGGCCCCCTCAGAGCCTGCCCAGACGGGAGAGGCACCCCAAGGCCGGAGGGGGAAGCCCCTCTCACCCGGCTGTGAGCCGGCTGCAGCGCCTGGCTGCCCACGGGTGGGTGCTGCCCTTCACCCCCCTGCGAGCCGCCTTGACCGCCCTCCACACGCTCCCTGCGGCTGCCGTTTTTTTTTGCTTTGGCAGTCCAGACGCCTTTTTTTTTTTGCCTGGGGCGGCAAAAAAGCTAGAGCTCGTCCTGACTCCAAGTCAGCAGAGTGACTCCAGATTGATACTGGTATTATTTACAATAAAAATTCAGTTCCTTGGGTTTGTCCTCAGTTGCTTTCACAAAAATTGCAATGTTCAGTATTTTCTTACAACTATTGGTTATGAAGCTGGATAATAAACCAATGTCATGTAGTAAACAAGTTAGTAGTAAGTGTCTATAACAAATGGAGAGATATTTAAACTTTCTGAAATCTATCCCATTACAGGACTTCTTCCCTATCCAGTGTTTTTCTGAAGAGAGACCACATGAGAGATCTCAGAAGATACCTGGTACTCAAATATATTCAGTACTTAGTCCTGCCTTCTTCAAATACTCTCATCACTCTTTTGGGACTTTTAGGCAGTCTGTATACAATACTCATTCTGAAGTCTCCAAGCATATCATACAAGTCCACTGCTGTTTTTATTTCATACATAGCAAAAGCAGACATACTGGTTTTTGTTAGCATTGTTTCCGAGATGATCATGGAGCCATTTGATGTTAAAATCGTATCTGCAGCCTTTACAACAGCCCTGTGGCAGAATTTCCTGACTGCAAATACACATATTTGCTGCCTGCTGCTAAGCTGTGTTACTTTTGAGGCCCTCTTGATAAGCATATTTTCAGTAGAGTCGCGCCATATAAGGACTGTGAAATATGCCAGACGGACATCTAATATGATCTACATTGTAGTAATTGCAGAATGCATCATTTTCCAGATGGAGGACTTCCAAGAACCTTTTGGCCTCAACAGTCAATATATTTTGTTACTTCACTTCTGTTACAGAGCATCATCTCTTCTCAGGTCTCTTAGTTATTCCATAGGTTTGTCTTTAAGGATAATCAATGTATATATTTACTACAAAATATTTTTTAATGTGTCTAACAGGTCTAGGCTAAAGACAAAGTAATGTACCTCCTAGAAGAAACAAGTACTCTATAGCCCAATATAGAGAATATGGAAAATGCTATTGTAAAGTGATGGGGTATGAATTACATATACATAAGCCAGGCAATCTAGGATCAAGGCTGATTGTTTTATGACTAGGTATTTAAGTTTGTCATGCTGAGCTGATGATATGTGTTTCAGAGGTGAGGAAAAGCTAAACTAAGCTGTCAGCCTCAGCACAAGATTTACTTGCTTGGAAAGGCGAAGTCTGAGCCAGAAAGTTATTGATTTTATAGATGTGACAAATTTATTACCAATTTAAAATGGGTTTAAGAAATTAAGCAATCTGGATATCATTATTCATATTAAAACAATGCTTAGAGACTGAATCAGGGATCCAGGCTGCATCGGGCCAACTGCTATACAAATATGTAGTAAAGAGCCAGTCCATGCTGCAAAGAGCTTACAGTTCAAGTTAATCATGACACTCAACAGGTAGATGAACTGTGTGCATGCAGTAGCTTGCCACCTGCCTAGCCATGATCAACATGCAGGGTTCTGCAAGCAGCTCACACCTGTTGTGATATCATGCCATAGCACACTACTTACAGTTACTTTTATATAGTTACTTCAGTACATTAGCAAATAGCCCCTGAAACTTCCCCCAACTGAAATAAAGAGAAACTGAAAGGATAGATTATGGCTGTCCTAAAGGGGGGTTTTCTAGTCACCCTTTCTCCTAGAGAATTTACGCAAGAGGCAACCATAATTTGGACAGCTGTGCTCCCAGCATGCAGTGAGGGGAAGATGGACTAGTATTATCAACAGAGTGCCAAATCCCAGAGGACTATGTGCAGGAAAGGACTTGGCCATAGATCTGTGTGTGGCTGCTCTGAGGAAGAGTGTAGTGTGCACTTGTTACACAGTTCATCTTGAGGCTTTATGCAGTTCATAGACATAGTAATACCTCCAGCTGCTGCATTCCAGTGGTGCTCCACCGGCTTCTCACAACAGAGCTCAGGCTTTTACAAGCCATAGCCCTTCTAGTATGGATACTAGATTTCTCTGATAGAAATTTTCAATTGACACTAGAAAATCCCTGTTGCTTAGAAGAGGGAATGTGGTTTTAAGGTGAAGTTTCAGAATGAATGGCAGGAGCCCTGCTTCTATTCTTGGTTCTATCCCTTCCTGCTTTCTAACCTTGAGCAAACCATTTATGGCCAATTTTTCCAACATAGCCTCTAATTTGGTTGCCTAAATATCTGTGTTCCCAGCATTGGACATTTGTGACCAGGTTTTCACAGGGGCTAACCACCTATCAACTCAAATTTAAACCAATAAGAGCTGCAGATGCTCTGTCAATCTGAAAGTTATAGCTTACGTGTTGGAAAAAGGGAGATCCCAAAATTTAGGCACCAAAAATTAGAAAATTTGGCCTTTGACATCTATGCTTCAGTCTCCCCCATCTGTAAAGGGGGATAATAATGATTACATTACCTACCTCACACGGGGCTTGTGAGACTTCATTTTTGTGAAATGCTTTGGAATCCATAACGGTGGAAGTTGCTTTGGAAATGAAAAGTGAATCAGGACATATTAACAGTATCAGTTGCCCAGCTTCCATATACAGCCCTCATCTACTGTGTTTGCCAAACTTTCCAGGTACATACACAGCTAGAATTCACCTGCTGTGCTGCTTTAATTTCCAGCCTCACTGTAACAATCTACTGATTTGAAAAGAAATACAGTATTCCAGCACAATGTACAGATACGGCCAAAATCAGCTCACAGTTTCAGTCAGCTCTAAATTTCCTTTCTTTGGTTTACATTAAACCCTTACAGCCAAGGTTGCACTAAGGTCTAGAGTAACTGTTTATGGTGCTAAACTTTCTCTGCATTTACACTGCCGTAAGTGAAAACAGGATTTGGTTCCTTGGGACAATTTTTCAAGGGGCCACAATCCAGTTTCGGAAATTCCAGGTGCTTAAAGAGACACTGTCTGTGTCAATTTCCTGCAATATCTTTGGGAGATATTATTGAATTAAGTTTAAGTATCTTTGGGGTCATTGTATTAAATGCAAAAGTTATGTATTATTATGGGCTGAGATGATCAAAGGACTATATTGAACAATATGGCAGACAAGAATGAACTTATGGGACAATGTGTGCAAAGAGAATTTCCTGGGAATTATCTAGGAGGAGGTGAATGCAAATTTTCCCTGCCTCTGGTTATGCAAAAACCCAGCCCTTTGAAGCTACTCCCTGAGGAGAGGAAGACTGTCTGCTGATTACCTGTTCCCAATGTCCCAAGATCAAAGACCCAAACTATGTAAAGGAGAGACTCACCGATTGATGGGGGTTCTTGTTCTGAGCAAAAGCTGTTATGAACTTGTGACCACAGAAAAACCTCTTTGTGGAATTTGAAGGACTGAAACCTGCTAGAGCAGGGGTGGGCAAACTTTTTGGCCTGAGGGCCACATCTGGGTATGGAAATTGTATGGCAGGCCATGAATGCTAATGAAATTGGGGGCTGAGGCGTGGGAGGGGGTGAGGGCTTTGGCAGGGGTGCAGGTTCTGGGGTTGGGATGGGGATGAGGGGTTGGGGGTGCAGGAGGCTGCTCAGGGCTGGGACCAAGGGGCTAAGAGGATGGGAGGGGGAATCAGGGCTGGGGCAGAGGGTTGGGGTGTGGGGAGAGGCTCAGGGGTGCAGGCTCCAAGGCAGCGCTTACCTCAAGCAGCTCCCAGAAGCAGCGGCATGTCCTCCATCTAGCTCCTATGTGGAGGTGTGGCCAGGCGGCTCTGTGTGCTTCCCCATCTACAGGTGCTGCCCCTGCAGCTCCCATTGGCCATGGATGTGGCCCCCGGGCCATAGTTTGCCTACCTCTATGCTAGAGCCTGGTTGGAGTTGGGATGATCTCTAGTAAGCTTATTAGCATGCATGTAGTTTCTTTTATTGTTTTTTAAATGTTTCCTCTGTAATGTATTCCCTTAAGGATAAATGTGCTTGCTTAGAAAGGATTGTGTGGTAAATGTGGGCAGTTATGCTGTTTAGGAGGAAGCAAAGTAGGCCTCTTCAGGCACTTTGACTTGCTGGGGAACTCTCAGTGTAGGCAGGGAACTGTGCAGCCTGGAAAGACCCTGGTAAGCAAGGAGAGAGATTTGGGTCTCTGCCCAAGAGAGATGATGGCTGAGGAGCTGCGTGCCCTTGCTGGACCATGGAGGGGGAATACAGGCGCAGTTTCCCTGAAGTGTGAGGAGTTAAAAGCAGTTTCACTCACTACATGTCGGCCAGTCCAGTGCCAATGTCTAAGTTTTTGCATTTTACTATTTTAAACTTGTTCTCTGAACCTCAGTTGCTAGATCACCAGCACACAAACAAAATGGCAAACCCACTACTCAAGGGGACACAGCAGAATTGAGTGTACAGAAAGTATTCTCAAATGCACTAAAGGTGTAATTCATCTTGTGCTGAGCACCAACACATGACTTATGGTGCATGTGTCCTGTGATGGCCCTTTGCACCGGGCTGAATTTCACACGCAGTAAATGAAAAAATAATAAGAGAAAAATATTTTTCTCTAATTATCTTTATTTCAGATAGAATAGTCTTAGGTGTTATTGAGTGGCAAATCTCTCTGAGGGAGCAGTCTGACTGTAAAGTGGATGGTTGCTCTTTAGGTTTATGTCTGAATGCATTTTTTTCTGCCAAGTTTTCATGTAATAGACTTATTTGCACAAGTATGCCTGGCTGAGTAACCCCAAGATCATCTTAGTGCTATTCTCTGCCTTCCTCTTCCCTTTACACTTGTATCTACTTATGATTCTCACTTGCTTTGTCACATCCAATTTAGATTGTGTCTAAGGCTGGATCTTTAATTGTTTGTGTGAGGTGCATAGCACATTTTTGGACACTGTTCTTCCCCACGCCCCCAAATCAAACCATGAATGAATGAATGAATAAAATTACAGAAGTACCCGATGGGCTATGAGTTACAAAGATACCAAGCTCTTACATACTAATACTGAGATTTTCAAAGCCATCCAAATCCCTTTGGCAGCAACAATAGTAACTAAGATAGAGAAAAATCATCCGCTTAAGTGCAATAGTTTGCTAATTAGCAACAATGTCAAATAATACTGCAGAAAATGCAAAACAGAAATGGAGTGAAACCTGTTTGACATGATCACTCAGAGAACTCAGGGCTGGTTTTCTAGTAAAGGCAAGGCAGAATGGTGCTCAAATCATTTAGAGAAATTTTGGAGTCATCTCTTAAGATAAAAGGTTGCCTAATAAGGCTGGTTGGTCCCTTTGATAAGTTTTATTTGGATCTATTTTATTAATGTGATATGTTGTCAGATGTTCCCATTCTGAAAGTCCTTTCTAAATGTTACTTTAAATTGGATTTTTTTTTAACTGGAGTTTATTCATGGAAAATTATTTGAATGTAAAGTATTGTAACTAATGTTCAGGTGATTGTGTTTCTGCTGTATTACATGAAGCCTCAAAATTTCCTTGCATTATTTAGCCACTGAAGAAAAGGTGCTCAGCATATTTTTATCAAAATTTGATTTGCTCCTATCTATTTTTTTATAAACATGAGTATCATTGTTTTTAATTAAAAATGTACGTGTTGGTTTTGTGTGTTTCAAAAGTGTCTTTCACCACCAGACCTGTGGCACCATCCTGCAAAAACTGATGCAGGCGAATGGCTGTTGTCATGGGAGTGGTCCCACTGACTTTAATGAGGCTTCTCACATCTGTAAGGACTTGTCTACATGATGAGGTAATGCACAAGGGTGTCATTTCTAAAGTGCACTAACATGTTGTGCATTAATTGGCCCATGTTGACCCTGCTGGTGCTCACCACAGGTTCCCACCATGGTCACACCACCAGAGTGTACCTTAGCCCACCATGTAGAAAGTCCTAAGACAGGGGTTGGCAACCTTGGTGTGCTGAGTCTTCATTTATTCACTCTAATTTAAGGTTTCACGTGCCAGTAATACATTTTTATGTTTTTAGAAGGTCTCTTTCTATAAGTCTATAATATATAACTAAACTATTGTTGTATGTAAAGAAAATAAGGTTTTAAAAATGTTTAAGAAGCTTCATATAAAATTAAATTAAAATGCAGAGTCCCCCGGATCGGTGGCCAGGACCCGGGCAGTGTGAGTGCCACTGAAAATCAGCTCGCATGCCGCCTTCGGCACACGTGCCATAGGTTGCCTACTCCTGTCCTAAGAGAAGGACAGAGCCTTGAATATGTGAAATCACAACACGGTTGGAATCATTTTGTCATATGTTTCTAAGGTGGGCCCCTTCCTTCCACGTCATAGAAACATACAGCTGACATTTCCTTCTCCCCACACTTGATTTTGGAAGTGAATTAAAATAAATTTAACCCATAGCTTTCTTAAAAAGAAATAAAATAAGACAGTTCCACAGCTCACCCTAGTCTAGAATACAGCAGTGCTTTTAAGGTTTTACCTACACCACTAATAGTCACAGTAGAGAAAATCCTCCCACTCACCAGCATGGGTGTAGGCCAGGAGTGGGCAAAGTTTTTGGCCTGAGGGCCGCATCGGGTTTTGTAAATTGTATGGAGAGCCGGTTAGGGGAGGGGGTCGTGGCCCGGCCCCCACCTCCTATCTGCCCCCCCCCCCCAGGACTCCTGCCCCATCCAACGTTCCCTGATGACCCCTGTAGGACCACTGCCCCATCCACACCCCCCCGCTCCCTGTCCCCTGACTGCCCCCGGATCCCTGCCACCCCATCCAACCTCACCTCTCATTCCTGACGGCCCCCTCAGGACCCCTGCCCCATCCAACCATCCCTTCTCCCTGTTCCCTGACTGCCCCAGGAACCCTTGCCCCTGACTGCCTCCTGCCGCCTCATCCAACCCCCCCTCCTTCCTGACTGCCCCATTCAACTCCCTGTTTCCCCCCCGATCACCATCCACACCCCTGTCCCCCCCAGGATCCCTGCCACCATTCAACACCCTGTTTCCCCCACCCCGATCACCATCCATACCCCTGCCCCCTGACCTCCTCCCCGAACTTTCCTGCCCTCTGTCCAACCCCCCTGCTACCTGCCCCCTTACCACGCTGCCTGGAGCACCGGTGGGTGGCGGCACTACAGCCGCGCCGCCTGGCTGGAGCTGGGCCATGCCGCCGCCACCACCACACAGCTAGAGCACCGGGTTAGGCCGGGCTCTGCAGCTGCGCTGCCCCAGGAGCTCACAGCCCCGCCGCCCAGAGCATTGCGCTGGCGGCAGAGCGAGCAAGCTGAGGCAGCGGGCGAGGGGGAACAGCAGGGGAGGGGCCGGGGGCTAGCCTCCTGGGTCAGGAGCTCTGGGGCCGGGCAGGATGGTCCCGCAGGCCGGATGTGGCCTGCGGGCTGTAGTTTGCCCACTCCTGGTGTAGGCCATATGTACATTAGACTCATTGCGCTGGGGCAGGCTGAATTTGAACAAGTCACACAGCTCTGCAGGGTCTCCCTCTTTGTTACCAAGGAGAGGGTCTGGTAACATGGTGGAGGCACATGTAGTGACGATCTACTGATACACACATCTTTCACTCCTTTTGCCCTGCAGAGGCAGTGCACTAGGATGTGGAGCCTCTGCCAGCCTCTGAGATTCCAATAGCAGTTGTGGAGCAGCACTGCTCCCACTCTGAGGCTTAATGGTTGCAAAGGGGTGGGTATATGGTTTCTCTCGTCTGGCCCCCTTGGAGTTCCCCAGTGCTTGAACCAGTTACTTGGGGCATACACTGGGAAGAATACGAGCCTCTAAGAGACCAGTGCTCAGTGCTGGGATCACAGTGACCACGGATGGGCAGATCCACCAGCCACGACACTAGTGCAAACAGATAAAAATAACTTCAAATAGCTTTTAAATTTGCCCAAGTGGGGGGATCAAACTCCTACCCTTCCTAATGCCTATAACACTACAAAGCTCATCACATACATTAACCTTTAACAAATCCTTTCCCACCAGCAGAGTTACAGGCTACAGCTTTTATTGTGCCACTGACCTAAGTTAATTTTATCTCTCTACATCATGTATGGCTTAGGCCCTTTAAAAACTGCCTCATGCCTTATATGATAGCAGGACAGCTGAGATAAGTTTAGGCATTGAAGCTAATCTCTCTGGTTAAACAGAAAGGTCCTTGACTCTGGACTATTCCTCTGCCTTGAACTGACAGAACTGGTGAGCCTCATGAAATGCAGTAATGCTTTCCCAAGCTTTTCCAGAGTAGGCTGGAATAACACAGGAAGACAGAAGGTTATTTGTAGGGATTGGGGTTCCCTCTTCCCAACCTGTTGAGTTGTTTTGAAAGCGTTAAATCATTCTTGTTTTGCACTTAGGTAATTTTTTACATATATACATATAGGACAGTCTTGCGCCGTGGGTTTTAGTCATCAGGTCAAGTCCATTAGCTAATCTCTCTGGGTTAAACAGAAAGGTCCTTGACTCTTACTCGGCATCTACTAAAACAGCTTTGTAAACACCCAGGGATGTTTGA